TTTTAAAATTATTTAAATTTATCATGGCTTAGGTAGTTACCACCTGGTTTAGGTTTATGATATCGATACATAGAATTATGGCACCCACCACTATCAAACTGCCCACAACACCCCACCGTGGTCCTGTCACCTCTAATTTGATTACATCTTCACTTCTATGCAGGAACACAAAAAGATAGAACCCAGGACCCCGCACCCCTCCATCAGCCTCAGTATCTTGAAGTTCATATCACAGAAGAAGCACAGGGTACAGGGATCTTGCCTTTAACTCACCAGCGTCTGAAACATGAAGTTTCCCACCTAGAAGTTTCCAAGATAATGGCACTGTAGCACTGTAGCACTGTAGCAATGTCCTCCCGTTGTTCATTGATTTGCTCGAGCAGGCCCAGTAATATCTCCATTGTGAAACTTGTTGTTACTGCTTTTCGCATATCAAATAGGTCAAGGGTAGCTTGCCAGGCTTGCCATGAGGGCAAGATACTCTTGCTAGCTTGCCGGGCTCTCTGAGAGGGCTGGAGGAATTGAACGCAGGTTGGCCTCATGCAAGGCAAGCGCTCTACCTACTGTGCTATTGAATGAGGCTTTATTTTTATTTTGTATTGGTGAGACTTTATGAATAAAAAAACAAATTGTGGGGGTGGAACATTGCTATAGCAGGTAGGGCAATTGCCTTGCACACTGCTGACCCAGGTTCAATCCCCAACATCCCATATGATCCCCTGAGTACTGCCAAAAGTAATTCCTGAGTGTAGGACCAGGAGTAACCCCTGAGCATCACTGTGTGTGACCAGTATCAAAGCCAAATACACACACATACACACACACACACACACACACACACACACACACACACACATATATATATATAATGTCTTAAGGCTATGGAATGTGTAGATTCTATATATTTATATATATAATGTCTTAAGGCTATGGAATGTGTAGATTCTTTTAGGATCTGATGTGTCTTTATATTTATTTATTTATCTAAATTTATTTGCAGCATCATGATTTGTAGTAATGTCAATGATAGGGTTTCATACACATAACTTTCCAATATCACACTCTCCCCCAGATTGTCTGCTTCCCTCCACCATTGTCCCAGTGTCCCGACTCTCAAATGCCCACCCACTGCCATCTCACCCTCCAAGTAAGCTCAATTCTATAGACCAGTTGTCAAGTTCTGTTGCTTTTGGCCATATTTTATTCCCTTACTATGCTTTTTTAACATTCACCATAAGAGAGATCATTCTGTATCTTTCTCTTTCAAACTTCACTTAGCAGAATATTCTCCAAATCCATTCATGTGGGGAAAAATTGCATGATGTCAACTTTACTTACAGTTAATTCCATTAGAAATAATACCATAATTACTTTCTCCAGTCATCTGTTGCTGGACACTTGGGTTGTTTCCAGGTTTTGGCTATTGTGAATAGTCCTACAATGAACCAAGGAGAGAAAATGCCTTTTCTTTTTCTTTTTTTATAATAAATTTATTTATTGAATCACCGTGACAGCAGTTACAAAGCTTTTGGGTTTAAATCTCAGTCATACAATGATGAAACACCTGTCCCTTCACCAGTGCCCATTTTCCACCACAAAAGCCCCAGTACACCCCCCCATCCTACACCCTCCCCCTACCTGTGGGGCAGATGAGTTCCACATTACTCTCTCCACTTTGATTTCATTTGATATTTCGACCCCATACCCACCATTATTATTTGGGATTTTACCCAAACCCTCAGATCCGCCGAAAAGGCAACTGTAGACAAATTTGTTTTCTATTGCTGATTATGAAAAACATATGATGTCACTCATCCACAGTAGTGGCTGGGTGATTTTGGAATTTCGAAATTTTAACAATTAAATCTGGAGAGATTTCTGCCAAAATCTGATGGATTCTGAGATTTGTTTTTGAGTTCCTGGGATCATGGCCGTTAAGCAGCTTGATCAGGAGCCAGAGAGGCTGTTCGTGGGCAGCAACTCCAGGTCTCATTGGGGCGAGGAGGAAAGGGCCGAGTCCACCCTCATCCCCTGAGACCCCATGTGTCTCATCACTGTGGGCTCAAACCTGACTATCCAATGGCTTCTGGAGAATGATGGCCACTGAGCTGCCAAGGGGGAACAGGTGGAGGGACAGCACCCTTTCCCCCCTGGGGTGGCCCTGCACCAGTAACCAACTGCAGAACCGAACACATCTCTGCCAAAAGCCACTGGATTACGAGATTTGTTTATGAGTCTCTGGGATTATGCCATTAAGCAGCTTGATCAGGAGCCAGAAAGACAATTCTTGGGCGGCAACTCGGGGTCTCATTGGGGCAGAGAAAGGAAAGGGCCGGCTCCACCCCCATCCTGTGAGGCCCCACATGTCTCATCATTATGGGCCCAAACCTGACTGTCTAGTGGCTACTGAGCTGCCAGGGGGAACAGGCCAAAGTACAAAACCTATTCCCACCTGGGGTGGCCCGGTGCCAGTAACCTTCTGTGGGGACTGCAAGGATTTCTGCCAAAAGCTGCTGGGTTCCGAGATTTGTTTCTGAGTCTCTGGGATCATGGTCTTTAAGCAGTTTGATCTAGAACCAGAGAGGCCTTTCCTCCAATTATATAGCTGAGCCAGAGGTGGTTTGTTGGTGTGTCTCCCACATACCTAACTTTTGGCTGTTTACTTTCTTGGTACACTTGGTCCCAAGTTGTTGGGGTCTGGCCAAAGGCACAGCAGCAATATTGGGGTATCTAGAAGTCTGAAGGCACCATGAGGCTGCTGATGCACTTGCCTCACAGGTACAGATTTACCTGCTGGCGGCACCACGCCCCAAAGAAAATATCTTTTCTGAATAGGTTTTTTTGTACCCTTCACATAGATTTATGGGTCTCATTCTCCTAACCCTGATAGAGTCTTGAATATGAAAAATGCAACCAACCCCATCAAGAAATGGGGAGAAAAGATGAACAGAAACTTTCTCAAAGAAGACATACAAAGTGCCAGAGAGATAGTATAATGGGTAAGGTCTTGCACAAAGTTGACCAATTCAATCCCTGGTATCCCATATGGTCCTCGAAGCACCTTGAGGAATGATTCCTGAACACAGAATCAGGAGTAACACCACCACCACACCCCCCCCCCAGCATCATGAAATGTGACCCCGAAACCAAAACAAATAAACCCAATGAAGAATTTCAGAGAGCCAATAGAGAAAGAAAGAAAGAAAGAAAGAAAGAAAGAAAGAAAGAAAGAAGGAAAGAAAGAAGGAAAGAAGTACTGCATCACTTTTCAGGGAAATGCAAATCAAATAAAAGAGATCACCTGCACCAGTGAGACTGGCACACACAAAGAACAAAAGGAGCAAGACAACCAGCGTGATGGGTCTTTTGGTGGGGAGAGAGAGTACTGTTGAGGATAGGGCAAGGGCAGGTAAACAAAAGGGAGTGGACATTGAAAGGTAAGGTCACCCAATTGACCAATCCATGACTGGGAGTTATACTGATATCTGCCAGCCAGCCTATTGAGCCATGAATATTTAGGAAATTCCTAAAACAAACAGTAAAAAATACTTCATATATATACTTATATACACTCTTGACTTCCAACTTGCCTCTTCAATCTTAACAGCTTTTTTTTCTCTTTTTTTCTTTCTGTTTTTGGATCACACCTGCCAATGCTCAGGAGTTACTCCTGGATCTGTGCTCGCGGATGACTCCTGATGGTGCTCGGAGGACGTATAGGATGCGGAAGACCAGGTCGACCACGGGCAAGGGAAACCCCGGACCCACTGTCCTATTTTGCTGCTATGCTAAGGAGTCCCCAGAAGAGGCTTCTAACTAGTGGTGAAGAGCAGAGCAATGAACATCCCAAAGCAATGTGGGGGGAGAGTCGGGCGGGAACTTCAGCGGGCAGCGGCTCCGGCTTCGGGAGTTCCACTCGTGTTTTGCTGCCCAGCTGCCAGCTTCTCCGTGGCTTGTTTCCCAGGAGAAACTGGTGTGGAGAGAGCCCAGGGCGTACAGGAACTCATCTGGAGATGATGCCCGGTGGAACGCTGGGCGCAGGAACGCTGCAGGAAGAACCAGCCCTAGAGCAATTAGTTCTTTCTGCAAATGTTTCCTCTGAGTCTTCACCCATCCACAGCGCCGCTGCCCTGGGCCTCAGTTTCCCGCATCTGCAGGTTTGGAATGACCGTTTCTTCTGCCTCACTGCTGATGAAGATGATGCAGGGTGGCGTCGAGCCCGGGTCTCTGCAGGCAGCGCTTTGCTGCAGAGACCCAGCCTCACTATTTAATCTGCTTGCAAAGCACTACGAAGCCGACCCTGCACAAGTCAGGGCTACTCTCCCGGGGACTGTAAAAGACCCGTCCCTGACCCGTCCCCACCATTCATGAAGGAGTCGCCCAGCACCGACTTCCTGCTCGCGGCTCTTGGGTGCCGGCGGGCGCGGCCGGGGCGGGGACGCGGCGTTGCCCTCCCCGAAAGGGGCCTCCCGGGGCCGCCTACCAGGCGCAGGTGCTTGGGGAGCGCTGCAGGCCCCGTTCTCCCCTCGGCGCCCGGCGGGCGAGTCCGCGCGGCCGAACCGGTGCGCGCCCTCAGGAGCGGCCACGAAGCGCTGCTCACCCCGCTCTTGGCCGCACCATGCCGCGCCTCGGCGCCCAGACGGTAATGCCCTCGCCTGCCCCCAGTACAGAAACTCCCCCCACCCCCACAGACAGGGGCCCCAGGAAGGCTTCAGCCCTGGAGAGCGTGCACGCCCAGCCTGGACGCTCTGTCCCCCCCTAAGCAAGGCGCCCCGGGTCCCACCAGAGGCTGGGGCTGAGGCGAGGGGCGGGCGGGCCATGGGGCGTGGATGGGGGCCGCGTCCGGGTAAGGACTAGACCGCGAGGGATGGCACAGCAGCCAGCAGAGCAGGTGTCCAGAAGGTTCCTGAACCCTCGGGGAGTAGGTTTGGGTTCCGGGTTATTTTTCTTCTTTTCCTCGACTCCTTTTCTTCTTCTTTATCTTCCCACCCCCCCTTTTCTGGAAGGCTTCTGCAGAGAGCACCCCCAGTGAAAGAGCTTGGCGACCTCAGCTGTATAGGAAATGCACAGACACGGCCTGGCTATTCCTGTTCTTTCTCTTTTGGACTGGTTTGGTGAGTGTGGGGGGGTCTTGGAGGGAAGTGATCCGTCCTGTGCACCCCGGAATAACTGTGAATCGCATTCCCAGGGCCGGGAGAGACCCAGAACTGCCAGGTTCAAATTTGTGTTTGGTGGAGCCCCTGCTCTTCCAGCCTGACAGGGGCCGCTAGGAATCCCTGGTAAATGCAGCAGTAACCTGGAGGAACAACGCTCTCGCTGCTGCAGGCCAAGTTCCAGCGAATTGAGATCCGCACTTTGCAATGGGCTTGTCCTTCGCTGAGCCGGTTTGTCTTCTTTTATCAAGCCAGTTTACTAGTGGCCTGGAAGTTCGTTTATCATTTCAGCAGGTGTGCGGGGTGAGGGACACCCATAAAAATATCCCTCCAGGGTTTTCTGTTCCTCTGATAAGGAAAAATCCAGAAGGAACCTAGAAATAAATTACCCTTACTTCCGCTGAGCATAAAACATCCAAGATTACTATGGTGTAGCAATGGATCAAGATCCTTCTGGATAAAAAGCCTCCAGTTAACTCTGGGTCATGACTTTTTCTCCCATTCTTTCTTGCAGATTATGTGTGGGTACAGGGAGTTCTTACCCAGCTAGGCCATTTCAGCTCTGGGAGAGTCTCTCACACTTTAAAATTGTGGGTAGTGGGATCAGAGGGATGGACAGTGGGAAGTTGTCTGCATTGCATGTGACTGACCCAAGTTCAATCCAAGGCGCCCTATATGTCCCTGAAGCCCCGCTGGGGGGACCCCCAAGCACAGAACCAGAAATAAGTCCTGCGCATTCCAGGTGTGGCCCCAAAACCAAAAGGAAAAAATATATAGGTAACAGCAGGAAAAGACCTGCTCAGCTTCTTCAAAGACGGTGTTGATGAAGTCACTCAGTCATTCCGAACTGAACTGAGGCAAGCCATTGGCTGCCCGGCAAATAAAGTTCAGTGATAGCTCCCAGATGGTAATTACCTTTGTTGATAAGAGTTAAATTTGAACTAGACCCCAAGATGCCACCTGGGCTCCTCCTGCCAAGTAGAAAAGGTCTAGCTATGCTCACTGCAGAACTTCCTGTTTTTTACCTGGAGGAGTGTAGAAGTGGCATCATGGAAGGTTGAGCTGACACCTAATGTGTCACGGTGTCTGTCCCAGAGTCCCAGGGAAGCTCTTCTTGGGGCCGAGGGAATCTCCAGTGCCCACCTCCCTTATTTTCCAAGGCAGAGGAAACAGCTGCCCAGTCTGGCCTGGCAGCTTTCACCCTGGCTGTGAATGAGCTTCCATTCAGGGTTCAGAACTGGTACATCACTACCAAACTCTCAGCCCCAGGTCTCCGGGCAAAGGGTTTGTCAGTGAGGATTCATCACAGCCTGACTTACGTACCATCTGAAGGGGAGCTGAAAACTGCTCTGAAATTGTATTTCATTGGCAAAATAAACCTGAAGGCTTCAAGATATGCCTGTCTCTTGACTGCATTCGAATAATACCAGCCTTTTCCCAGTTGACTGGCATGGACCATCTACTATTTTCTTTTTATTTCTGTGCCACAACCTCAACTACTCAGGGATTACTCCTGGCTCTGCACTTGGAAATTACTCCTGGCGGCGTTGGTGGACCATGTGGGATCCTGGAGATCAAACTCCCATTGACCATGCACAAGTCAAGCACCCTGCCTGCTGTCCTATAGCTCTGGTGCTGTGTACAATCTTCTTAACTCTTTTTAAGGCACAGCCCAACGAGGTTGGAGTTCTGCCTCTGCTATTCAGCTTTTTTGTCTGATAATGTTGTGTCTGACCAGGAGGGTCATGCTGGAAAGACTATTCTTGATGGTGCCGCCCCAGGTTAGAGCTGGTTGGGGACCAGGGTACCCGAATTACCAGCAGGGATTGTTGTTTGCAAACATGGTGTCAGCCTTTGTTTATATTCACAGAGTACACATCAGACAAAGTAGCTCAATGTTCGGTCTGTCTCTGCCTCTACTTACCGTTTCAGTGTCCTCCATCTATGCGTCCCTCAGGACTGCATGTTGGGGGGCCCTATCCTGCACCATAGAGGGAAGCTTCCTTGACAGCCCCCTCTAAGCCCTGACAGTCACAGCTACTATCTCACCTGGTCCATGCCATGGCACATGTGTGTTTGAAATTAGAGCAAAGTTTTGGTGGTTTAATAATAGGGCAACTATTCTATTAGCTATTAGGGATTTGGGAGTCAGAATTATTCAGCCTGCACCCCACCCTCCAAACAATAACAAAACCTTTCATTCTCCATGGACCTCCCCAAAGACACATGCCAATAGAGAATGATGATGAATGGGAAATACCACCTCCATGTAAGATCCCTGGCAGGTGCTTTCCTCCCTCTAAGTGCACCCCAAGCAGGATCCCAGCATGCTTCCAAGTGGAAGGGTAGGAGAAGAGCAGTCCAGGCCAGATCGACCAGCACTCCCGCAGGCCACACGTGTGTGTGTGTGTGTGTGTGTGTGTGTGTGTAGGGAGTGACCTGCTCATAACAGTGACCGTTCACAGCAGCCCCAGCTGACATCTGACCCTGAGACTGAGGAGGAGCTGGGAAAGGATGGAGGAAGAAACCCTCCTTCCATAGGAGCTCCCCAGTTTATAAGCCCGCCCTTCTCCAGGCTGAATCCTTTGAGGGCAGATATTCAGACTTGCTTACCTTCATATCCCCCAATAACAGTCTCTAGGGGAAAGACTGAAAGACTTCAAGTGAAAATTTTTAAAATTTCACTTTAAGTAAAAAATCTTTGAGTGTAGAGCCAGAATCAGCTCTGAGCACAGCTAGGTGTGGCCCCCTCAAAACAAATCTAGAAGTAGTTTTTTTTCCAGGGAGGGTGTCTCCCAAGCAGTGCTCAGGGGACTTAGAGGAACTCCTAAGGACCACTCCAAGAAATTTTCAGCCAACAGAATCTCTTACCAATAACTGGAATACTGTTACTCTGATTTCTAAATGAGTAAAAATGCTGAGTATCTGAAACATATTTGTTACCTTTGGAATACAGAGAATACAATATGGTATACTTTAGGGGAGGGAAGAGAAGGTAAGGGGAAGAGAGGAGAGAAGGGGAGAGTGGGGAAGGGGAGAAGAAGGGAAGGGAAAGGAAGGGAAGGGAAGAGCAAGGAAAGGAATGTAGGGGAAAGGAAGATAAGGAGAGCAGAGGAGAGGTGAGGAGAAAGAAAAGGAGGGGAAGCAAAAGGAGGGAAGGAGAGGGAAGGGGAGGGAACTGGAAGGAGAGTAGACTGGAAGGGAAAGGGAAGAGAGAGTGGAAGAGGAGAAGAAGAAGTAGGAGAGAAGAAGGGAGAGTAGGGGAGAAGAAGGGGGAGTAGGGGAGTGGAGGGGAGGGGCATGGGGGGAGTGAAGGGGGAAGGAAAACTCGGGAAATAAAGTCATTATTTACCTGGTACATTTAGATAAAAGAAGAACCTCAAGGGGGAATAACTTGAATTGGTTGAGTGAAGTAAGACCAAGAGGGGGAAACGGCAAACTCCTGGGGAAGAGAGCAGAGGAGACCCTGTGTGGGCACATCACAGGTTTCCATTCCCTCCTGCTAAGCAGTGCTAAGAGCAGAGCATCCCAGCTGGTGCTCGAAGACCCTTCATTCATTCTGGATTCTGCCTTGTAGCTGCACTTCTCGGGTGGGTGTTTCCACCCCTTAGGCCAGGCTCTCACTGTCCATGTGATCTCCTAGATGTTCCTAATGGGCTACTCGGCAGTGGCTGGCTCTGCAGGACGACTCCTCTTCGGCTATGACAGCTTTGGCAATGTGTGTGGCAGGAAGAACGCGCCGGTACAGGGCGCCCCTCTCTCGGGACAAGACATGACCCTGAAAAAGTAAGTGTCCCAAAGTCTCCAATGTACTCGTGCTCATCTCTAAATGTCCTCTCAGCCATTCAGAGCCTGGAAACCCTTCACCCATTCAAACTGGGGATACTGGTGGTAGGAAATGTGCATAGGTGTAGGAACACTGTATGCCTGAAACTCAATCATGACCAACTTTGTAACTGTGTCCCTCAGGGTGATTCAATTAAAAATATATATACTTTTTAAGAATTCAGAGTGGGCTGGAGAGGCAGCACAGCAGGTAAGGAGCTTGCCTTGCATACAGCTGGCCCTGGATATGCCCTACACCCCGAGCCTGCCAGGATCGATGTCTGAGTGCAGAGCCAGGAGTCAGCTCTGAGCACAGCTGGGTGTGCCCCCACCCCAAAAAAAAATCTAGAAGTGTTCATCAGGGCCTGGGTTTTGCTGGGGGGTGGGTGATTCCCAAGCTGTGCTCAGTGGGCTTAGAGCGCCCCCTACTGACTGCTCCAAGAGATTCTCAGCCAACAGAATCTCTTGCCAAGATCAATGTGAGGGTCCAAGCACTGGTGTTTTTTGGTAGCACTGTCCTCCCATAGTTCATGGATTTGCTCGAGTGGGCACCAGTAACGTCTCCATTGTGAGACTTGTTGTTGCTGTTTTTGGCATATCAAATACGCCACGGGGAGCTTGCCAGGCTCTGCCGTGCGGGCGGGATACTGTCAGTAGCTTGCCGGGCTCTCCGAGAGGGACAGAAGAATCGAACCCGGGTCGGTCTCAGTAGCTTGCCAGGCTTTCCGAGAGGGACAGAGGAATCGAACCTGTGTCGGCTATGTACAAGGCAAACATCCTACCCTCTGTGCTTCTTGGTAATGCCAGCAATTACCTGGGCTACCCCAGCGGTGTTCTGGGGATCCAGCAATTCTTAGGGAGCCATAGGGTGCCTGGGATTAAACCAGGGTCAGCCACATGCAAGACATGTGCTTTAAATCCTGCTCTATCTCTCTGACCCCAGGACACAGGTTTTAGAGTCAGCCAGTCCTAAATTTAAATTCATCTGCTGCTACTTTTCAGCTGTGTGACATTGGGCAGCATAAAGAACCTCTCTGAGCCTAGTTTGCAGTAGGCTCACAAGGTTGTGTTAAGGATCCGCTGAGATTTTGCATGAGTGAATGCACATTGCCATTGTCATCCACAACGTGCTGTATGCTCCCAATTGGCTAGCATCCTCGGTGATGCTTCCATGTGGAAATCTCAGGAATTTTGGGCCCCATCCCTACCACTCCACTGTCTGTGCTCGTGACTGTGATACTGCGGGGCTGCATTTTCTTGCCCCAGTTCTAACACAGAAACAGAAAAGAGAAAGAAGAGAAAGGAATTTTCTGGCAGAAAAGAAATCCCCAGCCATGATTTTCTAAGATCGAGACTGCCTGGTCCTAATTTTGAAACCTCATCAAAAACATTTTCTAGGAACAAAATTTTAAAGGTCTACACAGACTTGATTTTCAGCTTAGAATCTCAAGTATGAATCTCAGCCCATGTCTCTTCTAGCTCTGAATTCTGTGCCTGCAGAGAAGAGGCTTTGCAGTTTCAGATGCCAACTGCAGGGTGAAAGAGAGCATTTCACCCTGGGTGTGTGAGCATCACTGATAAAAATGACAGAAGGGAGGGGTTGGCCAGGTGCCCCTACACTTCTGCTTCATTTTGATCTGTGGTGCAATGTCGAGAGTCCCTCACTCTCCTTATATATGTGTAAGGTTCAAATCTCACTTTTGCAGTAGCTCAGAGGTAGGAACAACTCAAGAACCTCTCAGCAGATGAAGCCAGATGTGGGGTGTACAGACAGTGGGACGGCATTCAGTCTTAACCCTGAAGGAAATTAAGTCACATGCCTCTGCCTGGATGCCCCTGGAAGATATTATACTAAGAGAAATAGGCCAGGCACAAAAGCCAAAACCAAAATATTTCATGATGCCGCTTGTTAGAGGCAGGTGGAATCAATCATCAAATTCAGAGACAAGTGTAGCAGGGATGGGATGCCAAGGAGGGCAGCTTGCTTGGGTGGGGCTGGGTTTCAGCTCTGCAGAGACAAGAGTTGTGAGGCATGGTGACACTGTCTGCACGGCCACCTACCTAACCCCCTGCTTCGTTCCTTTCACACAGAACAGTCTTCATGACCGTAATGGTGACAGCTTGTGTATTTTATTACAATTTTTAAATGTCTAAAATAGAATAAATAATACTGTATATCAGAAGCCCAGGAAACCTGTTCTTCCATTTCCCTCTTCACCATCGTCCTTCTTCCCATCCTTACTGGAGAAAAAAGATGGAACCAGAGAGATAGCACAGCAAGTAGGGCACTTGCCTTGCACACGGCCGACCCGACCCAGGTTTGATCTCCAATGCCCCTTCTGGTCCCCTGAGCACTGCCAGGAGTGAGTCATGAGCATGAAGCCAGGTGTAAGCCGCGAGCATTGCCAGGTGTGACCTAAACACCAAAATAACAGAAAGGATAAAAGGAGAAAGCAGCCAGGACCCCTCTAGATCTTTCTCCAGTGCCTACACTGCACTTCCGCCTGCATGCCTCTCATGACCTACACACAACAGCAACATACACATGCATGCTCATACACAGAGTGACACCCACACATACCCAGGCTCATGCACATGAGCACAAACACAGATGCAAATACATGCACACGCATCACACACATATGCATCTACATGCATGCACATTCACACACACACACACACACACACACCTGCACACATGCACAGTGGCTGGGTAGCTGGAGCAGGAAGGGGTTGCTGTGCTCCTCAGTGCTCAGAGGACTAGCTGGGACCAGCTTCACCTGACATCCTAGCCTCTCTTCTTCTATTCACTTCCAAGATTTTCTGAAGTGTATCTGAACTTTACTCTTGGAGGGAAATATGTTGTGGATCTTATTGAACTGCTCTACATTGGCCCCATCTAGCTATTCGCGAAGCCTTTAGTCAATCCCTCCCCTTCCTCGGGGACTTTGTCTGGTCTCTCAGAAGATGCTGAAGCTGAGAAAGTGGGAGGTTAGGCTAATGGAAGTTTGGCTTTCAAGCGGTACAGTTCCACCAATGGCCCCCAGGGGACATGGTTCACATTAAATTATAGAGAGGCATTTGATTATAAAACTAGTTGCCTTTCTTATTCCTATGGATGTTTTGTTTGCAGAGCCAGATTTGAAACCAGGGCATCACACCTGCAAAGCAAATGCTCTACCAAGGAGCCATATCCTGAGCCCCAGCTTCTCCCTGGGTGCATAAAAGCAGAGAGTTAGGCTCTGTAAAAGGATGCACCCTGAGACACCCCTCTCTTTTCTATCTCCTAGGCATGTGTTCTTTCTGAATGCCTGCAATCTGGATACCAACAATGTTCAGCTTGGCTCCATCGTCCTCTGTGTCACCAGCTGTCCTGAGGAGCAGCTTGACACACTGGAAGAGATCCAGCTCTTTGCAAACAGCACTGGTAGGTGTCCAGGGACCAGGGATGGGACTCAATTCCACTGAGGCTGGAAACTACCGTGGGGTCACCCAGGGAGACCACGATGAGAAAAGCAGTCAGGATCTCTAGAGCAGCAGTTATCTTCCTGAGTGACAAAAGCCAGAAGCCTGTTCTCTCGAGCTCATCCAAAGCCATTCATTTCATCGGCATTTCCCCCAAATCTTAGCTGTTCTCTGCTCCCTGCAGAGAAACCTTAGAAATCGAGTCTGAGGCTGACATTTTGGACTCAGAGACAGAGGCAGACAGTGGTCTCAGAGCCCCACCACATAAGAACCCACAGTTTTGGGGTGATATTTCTGACTTGTATTCAAATATTGGGGTCCATGGATATTGTCAGTGATGTAAATTTACCCAGAGCACATGTACCTCTTGAAGCCTTGCTGTAAGCCTGCTTTTCGGACTGACAAGGATTAAATTGTTTTCAACCTTCTTACACCTATGGCCTCATCCAAATCTGGGGCCAGAGCTTGACAACCATCTGTCTGTGGAATGACCTGTCAGGTTTTCACAATTTTCCAGTCTTGGTGAAAAGTATCAAGACTTTGTCAGAAATCACCCTCACACAAAACTCAAATCATTTTAATATTAATCATATAACAGTTATGATATGTGGTTTTATAGAAAGAGTAAGAGAGGACCTAAGTCAACCTCTGATGGTATGTTTTGTTTCTGTGTTTTCTTTTGGGGACACTGCTGTCAGTGCTCAGGGCTTTGGGGCTTACTCCTGGCCTCTGTGCTCAGGGATCCCTCCTGGGATTGAACCACATATGGTGCTGGGGATTGAACCCTGGTAAGGTACATGCAAGTCAAGCACCACGATACTATCTCTCTGGCCCCATGTGTGTTTGTGTGGTAAGTGCATAAACATCACTTTCTTCAGTCTAAGACAGCTTTTCTGTTTCTCTCCTGGCTCAATTAAATGACCATCATTTCCTTACAAAGTATCTCTGCAAGGTGGGGCCAACATAGAAAGATGGTAAAGTCTTTGTGACTTCTGCTTCCAGGGTCCTTCCTGTGTGTTTATAATTTGGATTCCTTCAACTATACCCAGAATCCAGAGGTCGACTCTTTGTGTCCCAGACTACCAGTTCCTCCAAGGTAAAGCTTTCCACTCTTCTTCCTGATTCGTTAGCAGGAGGTCCTGAGTACTTGCTGCATGTCTATCACTCTCCTAGGTCTTCTGAAAAGCATGAAAAGAGGCATGAGAAGAGCCTCTAATGTTGGGACCTTCAAATCTACAGGAATCCAGGAGAAAACAAGGAGACGTCCTCTGTAATGTGTGTGATGGGCAATCATTCCACTGACCACTATTGTTTGTGAAAATAGCATGGATTATTACCAAATCAATAGTTTTTTTAAATAGTTGGTGTGGATATTTCTTTTCTTGTTTTGTTTTAGTTTTTTTTTTGGCCACACCCAGTAGTCCTCAAGGGTTACTCATGGCTCTGCACTTGGGAATCACTTTCGGCAGTGCTCAGGGGACCATATGGGGGGCCAAGGATCAAATCCAGGGTGGCTACCTGCAAAGCAAGTATCCACGGTACTTTCTCTCTGGCCCCCAGGTATGCATATTTCTACTTCAACTATTTATTACATGAAAGTAATGATTTACTTTTGCTTTTTTTTCATTGTGACCAGGCATTGTTAGGTTTATTTGTTTCATTAATAGCTCTAGATTGCACCGTAAAATAGAGGTGCAGGAGCTGGAGAGATAGTTCTGGGGCTAAGGTAAACCTCATGAAGCTGACCTGTTTGTTGCCTGTCACCACATGGTCCCTTAAGCATCACTGGGTGTGACCCTGAAGGTTCCCCCAGCACCCTAGGGGATTGGTCCCTGCCACCATCCAGCCTAAGCAGAAAATGTCTGGGCAAGGCTAAGTGAGCATGGCATCTTCTCCATGAGAACAGGGCTTCTTTGCTCATTAAGAACACCACTTAATGGACAGTCTTCAGGATCTGAGTTAAGGTTTTATTCATCCCTATCAACAAGGGCCCTGACTGGGTCCACGTAGGCAGTCATCAGTCTTTGTGAAGCTGTAATGCTGAAGCAGCAGTTGCCTTGCATGGTAAGTGAATCACTCAGTCCCTGAGATGGCTAAGGCAGAAATGCAATTATTATTGCCATGGTTGAGATGTTGAGTCATACTGAAGTGGGACTTGGAGTTATTTTGGAACAACATGCTTTGGGAAATTGTATGTTTATAGTAAATAAGACCTCTGTGCAAAATCTCCAAGAAATAATGATACTTTCAGTAGAACAGGGCATGGCGCCAACTGTCTAGTACTGTGTTTATCTCTCTCTTGTGGGACCCACAGTAAGAAATATGTGGCCTCACAGTCCCAGCATACACATGCCTTTGTACATACATAGATACATGCGGCAGAAATAGAAGCCTGCCAGAGCAAGTTCACACACATAGGAAACATTCTATTTTACTTAAAAAAATTTTTTTTGTTTGAGGGGGAGCAATACCCAGTGGTGCTCAGGGATTACTGCTGGCTCTTTGCTCAGGGGTCAGTCCTGGTGGGCTCCAGGGACCATAGGCGTACTGGGGATTGAGATCTGGGCACGTGCAAATCAAGTGGCTTGCTCACTGTACTATCTCTCTGGCCCCTTTTTATCTTCTGTTGTTTTTTTAAATAAAATATCATAAATGTCTCCAATGAAACATGAGTGCAAAGGAGAAATTACAATGTTTTAGTCCGGTTAAAGAAAATTAAGTAACGTTTAAAGAATTATTTGTTTGTTTGGTGGCCACACCTGGTGGTATCCGGAGCTACTCTGAATACTACTGTGTGGTGCTGGGAACCGAACCCGAGTTCCAGGCATGTTGAGTCTCCCCCAGCCCCAAGAGATTATTCCTAACTTTATGCTCTTTTGACCCATATCTCCTCATTTCTCTCTTTCTTGTCCCTACCCCAACACTATCCCTGATCACCTCTGCTTTTATGAGAATGACTGTTGGAAATTCTACGTATAAGTGAGATCATGTTGTTTAAGAAGGGTTTTTTTTAAGGGCTTTTGTTTTAAGATCCCTATGTGTAATTGGATCTGTGCAAAGAACTGAAAGAGAATGAAACTTGAAGGCTGTAATATGACCAGAGAAGGGAAACTCCTCTTGCTATGGTTGTGGAGGCAAGAACTGTGATTCCACAGGAAACCTGTATTTTGATGCTGCTGTTGACAAAAGCAACCACTCACGGAGTTTTTGATAGTGGGCAGTTGCTTTCCTAAGCTCATGGATTCATTTCTTGAAACTCACATCTTTAGGCTATGGGCCTTCTTTCCATTCCTATTTTACAGTCGAGAAAACTGATGCAAATGGGTCAGGTTGTACATCAGGAGAAAAACTGGCATTCAAAACCAGACAGCGTCCATATTTGTTTTGTAACCCGAAACAAACTGCCCAGATTTCATTGCCTTCCTTTTGCCTGGCACACGACCTTCTTAGATTCAACTACCAGCTGGCAGGACTTGCCCCACCACGTGTCCTGTGTCCCCTAGTCCTGTTCCCCCACCACTGGAGAACTTTCCAATACTAACTTTTCAAGGGAAAACAGAACTGTGAATTGACTGGCCCTTCTTGGATGGAATCAGGGAGACAGAAATAGCCTTGAGGGCTCCATTTCCTCTTCCTGCACAAGCCGGTGTTTGTTTTAAGATGGAAATGATCATATTCATCATGAAAGAGTAGTGCCAAGAGTGAAAAGTATGAAAACATGAGAAGTGTGGCTATAGGGCTAAAGAACATTTTCTAAATGCCTCTTTTTGACTAAACCAATTGTTTCTTTTCCCTTTTGGATCACATGAGGTATAGCATGTCTTTTTAGTTATTTATTTTTTTATTGAATCACCGAGGGATAGTTACAAAGCTTTCATGATTAAGCTTCAGCCTTAATCAAAAACACCCATCCCTCCACCACCAATGTCCTCAGTACCCCTCCCACCACCCTCACCCCACCCTTCCCCCTGTCTCTACGGCAGAAAATTTCCTTCTTCCTTCTTTCTCATGCTTTGGGGCATGGTTTGTAATAAAGACACTGAGAAGCCACCATGTTTGGTCCTTATCTACTTTCAGCACACATCTCCTATTCCTCCAACCATCGTTGACTTAGTGATCCCTTCTCTATCCCAGCTGCCTTCTCCCCCAGCTCATGAGGCAGACTTCAAACGTGGGTCAATCTTCCTGGTCCTTGTCTCTACTGACCTTGAGTGTTAGACTTATATTATGTTATTTTACATTCCACAAATGAGTGCAGTCATTCTGTATCTGTCCCTCTCTTTCTGACTTATTAAACTTGGCATGATACTCTCCATGTCCATCCACTTACAAGAAAATTTCATGACTTCATCTTTCCTAACAGCTGCATAGTATTCCATTGTGTAGATGTACCAAAGTTTCTTAAACCAGTCATCTATTCTCAGTCACTCGGATTGTTTCCAGATTCTGGCTGGCTATTGTGAACAGTACTACAATGAACATACAGGTGCAGATGCATTTCTACTCTGCTTTTTTTCACTCCCAGGATATATTCCCAGAAGTGGTATTGCTGGGTCACATGGAAGCTCAATTTCTAGTTTTTTGAAGAATGCCCATATTGTTTTCCAAAAAGGCTGGAGCAGTCAGCATTCCCACCAACAATGAAATAGTCCCTTTCTCCCCACATCCGTGCCAGTACTGGTTGTTCTTGTACTGTTTGATGTGTGCCAGTCTCTGTGGTGTGAGATGATACCTCATTGCTACTTTGATTTGCATCTCTCTGATTAGTGACAGAGCATTTTTTCATGTGCCTTTTGACAATTTGTATTTTTTTGAGGGAGTTTCTGTTCATTTCTTCTTCCCATTTTCTGATGGGGTTGGAAGTTTTTTCTTGTACAATTCTAGTAATGTCTTGTATATCCTGGATATTAACCCCTTATCTGATGGGTATTGGGTAAATAATTTTTCCCATTCAGTGGGCTCTCTCTGTATTTTGTTTGTTGTATCTTTTGAGGTGCAGAAGCTTCTTAGTTTAATGAAGTCCCATTTGTTTATGTTTGTTTCCAATTTCTTGTGATGTTTCATCCTTAAAGTTGCCTTTAGCTTCAATGTCATGGAGGTTTCTGTCCACATTTTCCTCCATGTACCTTATGGATTCAGGTCTGAAAGTGAGGTCTTTAATCCACTTTGATCTGACTTTTGTGCCTGGTGTTAGGCAGAGGTCTGTAGCTGTCCAGTTTCCCCAGCATCACTTGTTGAAGAGGCTTTCCTGTTCCACTTCACATTTCTTTCTCCTTTACCAAAGATTAAGTGGTCATATATTTGAGGGTCTGAGATGGAATGTTCATCTCTGTTCCATTGTTCTATGGGTCTGTTTCTAGTGCAATACCGTCATACCATGCTGTTTAAATTACTACTGCTTTGTAGTACAGATTGAATTTGGGAAGGTGATGCCACCATCTTCTTTTCCCCAAGGATTGCTTTAGCTATTTGTGGGGGTTATTGTTCCATATGAATTTCAGAAGTGTTTTGTCTGTTTCTTTGAAAAATGTAATGGGTATCCTGAGAGAGGCTGCATTGAATAAGTATAATTCTTTGGGGACTATTGCCTTTTTGATAATGTTAGTCTTCCTGATCCATGAACAGGGGATGTGTCTCCATTTCCTAGTATCCTCCTTTATTTCTTGAACTAGTGTTCCAAAATTTTCTTTGTATAGGTCCTTTACCTCTTTAGTTCAGCTAATGCTGAGATACTTAGTTCTCTGAGGCACTATTGTGAACAGGATGGTTTTTTTAAATATATCTTTCGTTATTCCTATATAGGAAAACCATGGACTTTGGGTGCTGATTTTGTAGCCTGTCACTTTACTATGCAAACCTATTGTTTCTAGGAGATTTTTTTGTAGAGACATTAGGATTTTCTAAGTATAGTATCATGTCAGCCACAAATAGTGATAGCTTGAACTCTTCCTTTCCTGTCTGGATGCCCTTGATATCTTTTTCTTGCCTAACTGCTATGGCAAGAACTTCCAGTACTATATTGAATAGAAGTGGGAAAGTGGGCAACCTTGTCTAGTTTCTGATCTTAGAGAGTAGGCTTTTAGTTTCTCCCCATTG